AGGCTTATTAAACATCAAGAAAAATATATAACAAGCATCTTCGGGTGAAACTGTGAGGAAAAATACTAGGCAAAGTTTAAAATGACATATTTATGTGAGAAAAGTTTTACAGACATAAAAAGTAAAGAGATGTTTTCCACGGTTATTTTTCCAAGACAGGGCTTCATAAATTAGTTTCTAACTAAATAAAGTATTGCAAAACTCTCAAGATGGGACTTTTTGTGTTTTCTCTGTTATCGCTTGTTTTTGTTGCTGTATTTCATGTTTTTGATTTCCCCAGCACACAAAGTGCTCCAAAAGCAATTTATAAATTAAATTAGATTCCTTAAAATTTTGCCATTTGACCTGAGACTTTTACTGCCTGTCCTTTTTAACAGAGCGTGTTCACTGTAAATGTGCATGTTTGTTAAAATCCTGACTAGTCTAAAAAAAAGATTTGGCCTTCATGATGTAAAGTGCAACATATTTCACATTTAACTAGTGAACTGAATCCTGACCATCACGTGCAGCGTAACAGCTGCAGATTGCTTTCTCCAAACAGTGTAATGCACCGACTGCAGCCTCACTAAAATCCAGTCAAAACACTTTGGCATTCATGCTAGATGACGCCTGCTCTTCATCGAAAGTCTGTTACCATTCAAACCCACTCAATTACTAGATACTTCTGTTAGAATAAGAAGCTGTTGAAGTGTTTTGAATCTTGGACAAAAACTGAGCAGACAGAACACTTTATGCTGAAGACACAGGCAGGTACGTACACACACACACATGTGCAAGTAAACGCACACAGCCATGGGTAAGAGGAGACAGCGGTATCCTGTCAAGGCACAGAGCCTGATTTATCCTCTGCCGCTGCTCTCATTCCTGTCCTGCAGACCACAGACATGAGGGATGCCTTTAATTTCCCATTAAAATGCCCTGGAACAACTGAGGGCTGAGGAGGCACTGTGTGCCGCTGTGTGTCACTGTCTGCGTATGTGGATAGCTTGATTAGACTCGTGTGACAGTGGTAGGTGTGTGTTTGTGCATGTGGATTTGCAGCGTTTCTGTTAAGCTGCACAGACACCAGAGTACAAGTGTGTCTGTCAGGAAGCAGTAACATTAGCGCACATCACTCCACATGACACGGCTGCAGCTCCAGGGCCAGGCCCACGATAAATATTAATGGCCAAGAACAAGTGGATTGGGAGTTGAGTTATCAGGGCGGGCCTTCCTAATTGACATTTTACCTGCTGTATACCTTAACAGGGCTGTAAAACACCAGGCCTGGGCTCAGCCGTAGGGGGGAACGTGTCAGTCAAGCTCTTCCCCGTTACTGCTGCCTTCCTCTGGGAGGAGAGGAGGAGCTCCGGCTGGCCCGAGCTTCTCATTGTTCAGATTCAACATCAAGGTGTTAAATGTAGCGTTTTATCAACAAGACATCATTACAGTTTCATGTGGAGAAATTATGATCCAGTAAACAGACAAGGTGACAGCCTCATCTATCCTCCACGGGATGTTTCTGGTTGGATATAAGCAGTTTGGATTTAGTGGAGAAATCTGTCAGATTTTACAAAAAAAAAAAATTGCATTGCTTTAAAAAGTTTTTGTGAGGTCTATTTTCTAATTTCACAATTTTTAAAAAAGCTTAATGAGAAACTGATGTAATAACTTCTACAGAATTTAAAAAATGACACAAAAGTCCATGTTTGGAGATACATTTTTGGTGTACAAAACCTAATAATTGACTAAATTTCATTACCAAACCAAGCTGATTGTTTATTGATTAACTGGTTCTAATCATTTATTCCACACAATGTCAGAAAGTTTAAAAAAATAAAATAAAACATTAAAAAAAAAACACACATTTACATCTTCAAACTGCTGGTTTTGTCAAACCAAAAATATTTCAACTGTCACTTTTTGGCACAACCATTAAATTGACTAGCAAGTTCACAGTAGATTAATTTTGTCATAACTGAGCTTCACTCACGCGCTGATCGGTCATATTCTCGTCTTTCACAGGCAGAAATGCGGTCCAAGTCACACAGGACAAGCATGTAAACAATCTCCTCGGCCTTCACCAGACACTGGCGACATTACTATACTCCCACTCATCCAAAATATTCACTTGTCTGCTTCCAAAGATACTTAACACACACGTACATACATGAGTGCATACAAAAACACAACACACACTTATACAAATTGGAATCTCTGGACCCAGAAAAGTGTTCCCACTTACATTATCTGAAAATTGACAGGCGGGGCAGACAACAAACAATTATCCCCGGAGCACAGCGGGGGGGGCGGAGGGGAGGAAAAATCGAAGATAGAGAAAACAAATATGGGTGATGTCATCAAAGCTAAATGGCAAGTCCTGTGTGAGAAAGACTGGAGAGTCTATTCATATTTAATGTTGCCAGGATTTCAATATCAACATCATAGAAAGCACATCAGATGTTTCTCTTTCCACTGGCTGATTCACAAAGACGAGCACAAACTGCCAGCTCTATTTGATGAAAATGAAAATTCAACAAAAAAAGGTTAATCTGTAGACAAACACTATTAAATAAACAGCTCATAATGCCGGGATATTAGCGGCGCTTATATGAAATGGCACATAATTATATTTTCGAAAGGCCAATGTTTGTAATATTTTTTTGAAAAGAGCAAATGTGACTCAGTGGGTTCTGTGATTTATGAGCGTTTGTGGAGGTGCAGTGTAGCGTGGTGATAACGCCGAAAACATTGAGGAGAACCGAGATAGACAATTCAGTGATCAGAGACAAACTGGAGCCGCAGTCCATATCTAGACAACATCGATATGTTATTCTGTAGTCCTTCCACATGATCTCCTGGGAATGCGGAGATGATTATCTGATATACCTGTAGTCTGTCCATTGAGTATCTGACATATACATTTAAAAGCCGGTTTCCTTGTAATCCACAGCCTGGTTTAAGAGAACACATCCTCTGCGACCACTGCCAGGTTTGAGCATTTGGCTCCACCAAGAGGCCACATCTAAAACAGCTGTCCAGCCTCAGGATGTGTACAGTCAGTAAATGAAAAGGGTAATTCACCAGAAGTAGTAACAATATCACAGATGTCCATATTCTGTTTACAAGTATTGGTCAGTCACTGGTGTGACAGCCGTGTCCTCCACTTAAATGAGCATCACGCAGTGAGAAACCTTTTAAAAATGGGCCAAATATATTCATCATTATTTGTCTATTCAAGCATTCTGTTGTTAATTAAAGTGACTTCAAACTAATGTTTAGAACCACATGTTTTACTCATCAACCCTGATACTCAGGAAAGAGCAACACAAACTTATTTCCAAATATCTACTGCCACCCTGTGGCCACCGGCTTTTACTGCATTTGGAGGGAAAACAGCCAGCAGCTGAATGTAAAGTACATAGAAGGCTCATATTTCAGGTTTAAGTCTTGTCTACACTATGGTTGAACAATGAATTTAACTTCTATCAAAATCAGAATATGACCAAGTGTAATATTGCAGCAGCTGCAGTTTTTTGTTAAACATAGCATTTCAAATAAAGCTGTGCAGGGCTACAGAGGTGCCCCGGCCTGCAAACCACATTCTTCAGTCGTAAGGGAACACGTTTGTTTGGTACAAACCGCAGCATAACTCTGAGCATCTTCATATTTTTGTGTCAGTGGAAAAGGAATGCAAAAACAACCATTCCAGGTGCCCCTATAGCTCACCTGGTTGAGCGGGTGACCCATGAACAGGGGCTATAGTTTCCCGATTCAGTGGTCGTGGGTTCAACTCCCACTAATGAGCTTTTGCTGCAGGTCTCTCCCCATTCTTCTCCCCCCTTTCCTGTTTACCTCTACTGCTGTAAACAAAGGCACAAGCCCAAAAATATATATAGATGTATATACAACCATTCCCACTAAAGCTGTAATTCATATCACAATCGTATCTGTCAAAATAATCGCAATTTTTTTCTTGCATGTTGTTCAGCTCTAGTCCACACAATACCTCTCTATGCACAGAACAGGATCCCATTCAAGGTTTATGCTATTGATTATTTGCATCAAGCAGCATGTACAAGTAAGCACACTGGTAAAGTCTGCAGTTTCACTGCAAAAACATCTCAGGTTTTCAAATGAGGTTAAGCTACAGTCATTTCAAACCTTCCCCAACCAGACGCTACTGCTGGCCACAAAACTCTAGCTGTATGCCACAGCTACACGGAACATGCATTCACATGATGCAGTACAGTTTTCAGATTATCTTTTTTCTTCGTAAAATGAACACTGCAGTGTCAGCCACAGAGTTAAATGCAACCACAGTGTCCTAGTTTAAGAGCTGTGATCGCAAAATGACTCGTGAAATGACACGCAGAGATGACACCTGTCGTTGTCGGCCTGATTCCTCTGTTGGTGATGTTACAGTTTAGAGAAACTGGGGTCTACAGTGTATGAAAGTGTAACGATTCATGAAACAGACACAACTACCACCATTACTTTAGCCCAACTCTTACTACAGCTCAGAGTAAAATGTGAAATTGACAAACTTTTCAAAAGGTGAAAAATTTCTCCACTTCTGAAATCAAACTTCTGTGTGTAGAAGATTTTCAGGCTTTAAAATGTTTGAATTGAAACTTTCACTTTGTCAACACTGTTTGATACAACTAGTGTGAGGTTTTCTGTGTCTTATACACTGATGCCTCGTGCATAATTCTGTTTTTTTTTCCATCTTATAGAACAAAAAGGAAATTCAAACACTAAACTAAGTGTTTTGAATATATTTACACGTTTGACTGATTAAGATAACGTCAGGATTTTTTAAAATGAGACCACAAAAGAATACAAATAAATCGATCCTGAATTGACTCACCAGCTTGAAGAATAAGCCTGAATGTTGAGGAAGTTAATCGTTGCTAACTCAACACATCAGCTTGGAAGAAAACTACAAATCCCCAGAGTTTGTGTGCGTACATCCCACAGTATGGGATAGACAGTCATACAGTATATCAAACAGGACTTACTGTGAAATGCTCCTGGGATTTGTAGTTCTCATCGAGGTAGACACGGACTCTGCTGTACTCCTTCATGGCATCACTGGACAACAGCTCTCTGATGGAAAGAACACAGAAATATTCAGGTAACATCATTCAAATCTAAAAGAATCAAGGTATGCCTCTAAACTAATCCAACAAATGTACCAGACTGCACACACTCAGTCAAAATTCACTCTGACGTACAGCTTAAATTCCGCCAGTGGGGGGAGTAGTCCGCTCAGTTTAAAACAGACTACTCCCTGATTCCACAAGCCATTAAATGGGTGTTCCCTCATCAAAGCTTTCCCATTACCACCATCATCAAAACAATTAGAGCAAATTATGAGCACAATACTTACGTCACAAAAGTACCCACGTGATGCATGGACGCCTCATAATTTTTCCCACCGACCTCTTGACAGTGCACTGCCACGAAGTGAGGCTTATGTGACTGTACTGTCTGTAATGGAAGAGAGAAGAAGAAAAAAAAAACACATGTCAAAAAGCAGGGAAAGAGACAAACAGTTCCACTTTACTTTGTTGTTTCAGTGCATCCATAACGGCCGTAATAACACCGCAGTACGTCCATTTGCTCATCATAAACAAAACTAAAGTTGAATTATTCAGCCAAGCGCAGAACCTATATGAGTTTGGCGCCTGGGCCTCCACAATTCTTCCTAACTCGACTCTGTGACATGCTACTATATTTACACAAGACAAAGTGCCTTGCTAATGTAGGCAGAAGGCACTTAGTGAGCTTGTTCCACAAGCATAACGTTGGCCCCTCTTCATCTACAATCAGGGATGTGCCTGCAGCACTCTGTGTATGTACAGCAGGGTGTGACAGATGCTCACACGTCACCATTAGTGCTGACACTTCACTCACTATAGCAAGAACAACTGCACTGTTCCAGGGACATGTCAGGGGTGCTTATTACAGTGTGGGCAAGACTCCAGCAAACAGAAAAAAAAATAATAAAGCGGAGTGAAATTTCACATAAACCCATGTGCATGTTATGTAATTAACAGAAATTGGTCTTTACGTATATAAAGTGAAAGCGGTAATATCCACTTCCTGCAAGCGAGCTCACCCAGAGTCACGTGACCTTATGTCGTTTTGCTTTAACATTCCCTCTTACACATAGTGAGGTGTTTGTGAGCACCCTGTCAGAGGTGCTCAGAGTGGCTGACTTCTAATGGAAAATCAATACCACGGAGTGATTTACAGCACTCACAAGCACTCACAGGGTCGGACCTATGGATGGCAGTCAGAGGCTATACATCAATGTCACGGGCAGTAAGGGGGGGGACTACAAACGGTCCCTGGACCCAAACGGAGCCCTGCTACTTCACCAGCGTCCCACCTCAGCGTTGCATTATGCTCACTACAGGCCCAATCAAATAAAAGTAATGTATGGCAGTAACGCTATGGATTTTCCATCAACCTATGGCTTGTCACTTAGCTCGATGACCCGGGAGCGCGGACCTACAGCAGCTCAAACTTGGAAAGATTAGTGCACCTATCAGCTCACGATGGAAAAGGTCACAGTCTCAAGGAGGTTGCTACTAATGTCAGGCTCAGATGTGACGTGTGGGACGTGTGTGTGTGTGTGTGTGTGTGTGTGTGTGTGTGCACTCACGCTCACATGCACACACTTGTTTTCATCGACTGCATTCTATTTATCTTTCCAGGCTGTAAATTCCTGTTTAAGTTGGCAAACAGACAGACTGCAGGTGGTAATTTCATTACCAGAATCACCAGTGCCATCCACCCAAACAGCTTTAACCAGTGACCACACACAGAACAAAGGTCTGAGCAGCATCCAAGTTAAACGTACACTGTTTAACAGGAAATTCTGTTGACATTTGAGGCGAGGAGTGAACGACATATTGACATGCCAAATACTGTATCTATAAAGAGTGATTTTATGATGCATAACAACAGCAGAGGCCTCTCTAAACAACCCTCAGACATTGACAGCTGCTGCGGCAGTAGTGAGAAAGGCCTGTCTGGCTGAGCTGACACGAGTAACAAGAGCACTGCCATATGGGACCGTTTCTCAACCTCACAAGGATGTCAGGCGTTGATGTGTTTGATAAGGAGGTGTGTCCTCTCGTCCTCATTCCCTCTTCTCCATGACCTGATTCTTGAAACCCAAGGAGGTTCCCATTTGTCTAAATTATATATTTGTCAGATTGTACCGCAGGCAGAGGAGGCCTGTGCTGCCCTAATCAAGTCTGATCAAGGTCATTATCTTCCACATTCACAATCCCACACCAGAGTTTTACCTCCATGGAGGAAGTTTTGGCACTAGGACTAGGACAAACACTCAGAGATAACAACGGACATCCAAATCGCTCCTCTTCCTCATTTTACAGTTTGCACTGATGAAGATTTGACTGGATGTGTATTGGAAGACACACAGAAAACAACCATCACGACTTTAATTAAATTAGAAAAGCAGATTTTATGAAGACAACTTGTTTGCACAAATGTTTTGTATAGTTAAAACATGGAAACAGGTGAACTAGAATTTGCAGTTAAAATGGAAGTCCTGAAGGAAGCAGAGGTTTTAGTTTAGGTAAACAATGAGTAAAATGGCTAAAGTGAATGTGATGAAAGGAGTTGAACATTCAGTTTAAGGATCCTTTACATTGTGATTTGTTATATAGCCAATTTGTATTTGACCAATGAGTCTGTGTCTGGAAATGGCGAATAAGACAATAAGACTATTTCTATGTTTTGTTCTGTTACTAAAAAACAGCTATGTTCTTTCTGCATGTCTCCACTGGGACTTTGCTCCACGCCTCTTTGTGATGATCTTCAGATTTTTAAGGTCAAAGGCTTCCTTCAGTCACTCTGGTCTTCAGTTCCCTCCACAGTTATTGGATGGGACTCAGGTCTGGACTGGTTGGGCAGCTCTATAATGTTAATATTGTTTTCTGTTAATTATTTCTTGACCATCTTGGCTCTATGTTTCAGATAGTTGTCTGGTTGGAAGGTCCAATGCTGCCTGAGGCCACGCTTTTCTGCAGACTGCCTGATGTTTTCCTCCACAGTCGTCGACTTTGATTAAACTGCCTGGCCTGTTGACTAAAAAACACCCCCCAACCATCACATTCCCACCACTGGATCTGACTGCGGTTATAGTGTTCTTGGGGTTGACTGCTTCTTCTTTCTTTCACCAAATGAAAGCCACTTCTGTGTCTAAACAATTCCATTTTTATCTCATCCAACTACAGAACTGATGACCAGAAGCTTTCTTCCTTGTTCAGGTGAGCTTTTGCAATACCTGGATGAGCTTTTATGTGCTTGTCTGCAGAGGTGGAGTCCGTCCATGGAGACCAGTTTGGTGCAGCGTCTGATTGACTTGGTTTGACCAGAGCTGCTCAGGTTAATCAGGATGTTCTTGGTGGTGATTTTCCATACGGTCATTTTCAGTCTTGTGAGCAGCCACAATGCACAGCTCTCTCTCAATGATGGACCCTAACAGCAAGCTCACTGGGCTAGTTGATGTTGGATTTATATTGTTGATTCCAGAAACCGAGAACTACTGTATCCACTGGAACTAACTCATGGTGTATTAAAATGCTCTAGTCATGACAGAAATTACCACTTGGAATGGAATGGAAGGTGGCATTTTCTCAGAAATTATCTGCAACTTTAAGCGGTACATACCACCATAAAAAACACTGTATGAACACGCTACCAAGCTCACCAGATGAGGTCCTTTGTTAACTGTTAGGTCCCCACAACTTGCAATTCTTCTTTATGCCAAAGATAAAGTTGGTGCAGATAAAGTTCATTTCATCTTCATAAACAGGCTTAGAGGTGAAAAGCAGCATGATACACCATATCACCTATTAGACACAGAGGAGCCTTTGAGAAGAACTAATCAGAGGAACCTGAATCCTATTTCATGGTTCCTATTTGAGGAAGGGGAATAATTAGAGAAATAAAAGGAGCTGGTGGGCTGACATAAAGCCAGGATTGTTTGTTTTACTGTCCAACTCTGGCAAAACACACATAAAAAATGAAAATGGGAAATATTGGGCTTTATTTACTTTCAGTTATTTTTATTAGAAGATTAAATCAAAAGATCATCCAACACATTCCTGTGTCAATAGGGGGATTTAGGAGTCGTAATATGATTGTACGCTGGTTTTTAAGCAAAACATCTAATCAATGAACTATGCGATGACCTTTAGCACTGACTGTCTTTGCAGATCACAAGACTGGATGTAAGGACTTGACACAATCGCTGGCCTGTGACGGTCCAGGGAAGTTTCCAATGCAAATGGGGCTGAGGGATTTTTCAATTCGGTGCGGTGAAATGCAAAGCACTGTTTATACTACTGCAGCAGTCAAGGCGGAATCTCATTTATCCCAGTCTGCTGCACACACACATGGGGCAGGCAAATGATCCTGATTTGCTAACATGTAAATGATAGAGAAATCCTGAGACGAGGTAGGTCTTAATACAGGATTTGATTGGATTCAAAGATCTTGGAAAATATCTCAGTCCAGTCCTTGTCTCAATATATCAGAGGTTTTAAATAGTTAATCGTGTTATTTTCACTTCATTTACATTGATAGGGGCCAATACAATTCTAAACCTAAATCCAGGTCCCAAGACTTCACACACACCTTGTCCATTAAATACAGTTCTGGTACATCCCAACAACTACTGCATTTTTTTTGCATATCCCTTAATAATACTTCTGTGCTCCTTCCAGTAATTTGCAGTCTGATGGTCATACGAACACGTGAGAGAAAATCTGAATGACTAATAGGGCAAACTTAGTTTCACTTTTAAGTCTTACATGTATGAGTAAGTGCTGGCTGCCAGATGTCAAAATGTTTCTTTAAACCATTAAAACCTGATGCTCAGAGGCAGATTCCTGTAAATGCCTCGCGATAACATCCTTGCTTCTTTTCGAAATGAGGCCTACATTTGCAGATCTCTTTCGATTGTTGTCACCTGCCAAAATATACCGAGTTAAACAAGCTAACACTGCAGAGTTTGTCTAAAGTGCTCCAGACATGCTTGGTATGAAAAAGCCCTGTTCGGAAACACAACCTCTGCATATTGAGTCAAAAGGCTAAAAAAGCTGCATAACAAATATGAGAAACAAAAAAAAAAAAAAAATGAGAAGAACGCATGAGCACTGTTAGCAGGTTTTATGCAGCTGGTGCAAACATGCCTTAGAACTACAGTCGAGGCGTGCAATAGGATAAATAATTATGTTTTTGGAGGAATTCCTTCAAGCTGCTGACTTGAGCTACTGGGCTGCTCACGATGCTGAATAGCTGAGAGAAACAAGACACAACATATATGTGACTACTGCTCACACATACATTAAAATATGCAGAGCAGGTACCGACAGGCAACCTTTTCTGTAGGCGCAGCCCTCCAACATCCAGTGCTACAGCTTTTATTGTGCATTTTCCAAGATGTT